GTTGTTCTCTTATATAAAAATGAGTTGCACAATGATGTTTGACACAATAGTTCTCTTATTATTTTATTTTGTTACTACTCCTTCCTGGAAGGATAACTGATGTCTTTATTTTTAGTTTTGTTCAGAGAGGTTCTCTGTCCAGAACAAAATCTGATAGGTACCTATTAAAATTCTGAAGCTCTACCTCCTGAGAATACAAGATTTCAAAATAAAAATCTAAAGTTATTAGATTTTGATCCATAGGAATCTAAGACAAAAAGCATGTTGGAAAACAAGCCCCAACAGACCACTCCTGTAAACTCATCCTGAAATTCTGGCTATATTTCAGAGGAAATATGAAAACCTCAGTTTCTATTATGTGGCTTCTGTGTTGACTCATACAAGAATAAACAGATGAAAAAAGAAAAGGGAACTGTTGCAGATGGAATTGTGTTACACACATACACACACACACAAAACTCACATAACCCTCACTGCCTCAGAATGTAATTGTTATTTGGAGACAGGGTCTTCAGAGAGGTAAGTTTCAATGGAATCGTTAGAGTTGATCCTTATCCAGTATGATCTGAGTTTTTATAAGAACAGGATAGGACATGGAAACACACCACAATGGAAAGACTTCATGCAAGCCAAGGAGAGAGGCCTGCGAAAGAAAACTCCGTTCACATTTTGATTTTCGATTTAGGCTCTCGAACTATCAGAAAATTGATTTCATTGTCTAATTCACGTAGTCTAGGCTATTTTGTTATAGGAGCCCTAGCAAACTAATAGGACAACCAATGTGAAAACTTAAAATAGACATAAAAGTCCAGAAATCAAAGACAGCAAATTTTTTACCAAATCCTCTAAGTGCCTGACAAGTTTACCTCCTATACACATTTGTTTAACAAAACTTGTTTCCTACAACTTCCTAGTAAGACTTAATAAATAATATGAGAAGGCATTAACATGTCCTACATTGTATCCTTGGTTTCCCAGGAGATTGACTTCAAATGTCCCAGAATATCATAGTTCTTGCTCACTCTGTTCTCCCTGAGAACCACATCTGTCCTCTAAATACAACTTTAAAAGATCAGTTTTCGCCCAAATCCAAAAATGCCCAGATTCCCTTCCTAGAAGAGAATTTTACAAATTAGTTACAAATCTATATGGGCTTTAGAACCAATATGGTCAAAATGGTCATATTCCCAAAACTGTCATATAAATTAATGCACTCTTAATTAAACTACCAATAACATATTTTTTAAATGGAACTGAAGAAAACAACCCTAAAATTCATTTGGAATACAAGATACCTAGAACATCAAAAGCAGTTTCAGGCAACAAGGGCAAGGGCAAGGGGGTACCACAATCCCAGACTTCGATTTACACAACAAAGCTAGAGTTATAAAAATAACATAGTACCAGGCATGGTGGTGCACACCGGTGATCCCTGCACTTACGAGGCTGAGGCAGGAGGACTGCCGTTGAGTCTGATGCCTGACTAGGCAACATAAGCAAGTTCAAGGCCAGTCTGCAAATATGTAGTAAGACCACCTTTACAGCAAAATAAAACAAAACAAAAGAAAGAAAGAAAAGAAAAGAAATGGCATGATTTTGGTAAAAAAAAAAAAAAAAAAAACCACACTTATGGATCAGTGAAACAGAACAGAAGACAGAAACAACTTCAGGCATATTTAGTGTCTTGGTTACTTTTCTCATATTGCTGAGGCAAAATAGCCAACACTCAAAATGAAGGAAGGAAAGGTTTATTTAGCTCGCAGTTTGTGGAGGTTTTAGTTCCTAATCATGGCTGAGGGACAACATGGTGGCTGCAGCAGATAGCAGAAGAACAAGAGTAAAAGGGCAAAAAGGGAAGAGCATGCTTCCTTCCCTCCCATATATTGAATGCTAGTTCCTCACCCCTGGACACGTGCAGCACTCATACCACCAATCCCAGTGCTAGACAACAAACCAATCACAAACGTTAGACTCAGAACCTTTAAAAGGCCTGCCCTCATGACTGCCCGAGGCTTTAGGAGGACATTTAAACACAAACCAGAACATTCAGTTACACAATTTTTGACAAAGGCGGCAAATCTCTTCACTGGAGAAAAGCCAACCTTTGTAACAAATGGTGCTAGGAAACTAGTATACACATACCAAAAGCTGACCTTGAGATTCATGCCTCTCACTGTACACTATATTAAAATCAAAATGGATAGAAGATCTCAACATTAGAACAAAAATGCTTATCTGCTGGAAGACGAAACATGCAAAGACTTTCTGAATAAAACCTTGGTTGCACATGAAATAATACCTAGAATCTCATTGGATCTCATTGAATTAAAAAGCTTTGACATATCAAATGAAACCACCAACAAAGTGAATAAACAATCTACAGAATAGGAAAAATTATTGCCAGCTATACCTCTGGCAAAGGACTAACATCTAGAATATATTAAGAACTCAAAATAGGACTCTCCCCCAAATTTAGTGACCCAATAAAAATTGGGTATGTGAAATGGACACTTTTTATATGAAGAAATACAAATTGGCCAACAAATACATGAAAAAATAATATCACTGGCCATTTAAGAAATGCAAATTAAAACACATTAAGATTCCATCTCACTCCAGAAAGAATGCTATCATCAAGAAATCAACCAATAACAAGTTTTGACTCTAAGGGGAGAAAAGAATCCTTCTTCACTGTTGTGGTAATCAGTATGGAGATTCCTCAAAAAACTAAAAACAGAAATTTCATGTGATCTAGCTATTTTCCTTTTTGGGTATCTTCTCAAAAAAAGTTAAAAGTATTTTTCCACAGTGAATATATGTGTACCTATGCTTCCAGTATCACAATTCAGAATAGCTAAATCTTGGAATCAGTGTATATCCTCATCAACAGATGAATGGATAAACAAAATGGGCACCTGTACACAATTGATTACTACTCTGCTGTTAAGAAAGATAAATTTAAGGCATTTATAGGGACATGAATGCACCTTGAAACCATAATGTTAAGTGAAATAAATCAGACATTTTGCACTCACTTGGTTTCCTTTATATGAAAAACTGAATGGGGAAGAGAGAGAGAAAATAGCAAAAAAGAGTATATTCTAAGTATATTTCCATTTTCAGCCACTGTAATATGGTATTTGTTTGTTTGTTTGTTTGTTTGTTTACAAAGATGATGTAACTAGTTCTCCAACTTTCCAGCACTAGAGATTTGCCATAATTCTGTACATTTTCAGTGTTTTTTCCTTTTCCTTGTAGTTCATCCCTTCTGTTTCCAGTGTTCTCTGTATAGTATTTTTATACATGCTATATATTAATGTGAATCCCCACTTGCATCTTGCATTATTTACTATACCTCCTCAAATTTCTTTTTTGAGATTTCTGCTCATATACACAGGGGAAAGGTCAGATGAAAAGCAAAATAGGGATTGGAGCTACACTGCCACAAAATACAAGATTGTGCACTGTAGGCTAAGTGAAAGACATGTGACAGTCTCAGAGACTCTAGAAAGAACCAAATTGCTCACAACTTGATGCCAGAGGTTGACCTCCTCAATCATGAGACAATAAACTTCTGCCACATCAAGCCACCTGGTTTATGATCAGTTGTTATAGTAGCCCTAGAAAACTAATACAAATTCCATAAAACTGGAACCTAAATATCTACAGAAATTGACTAGAAAAAGAAATAGTTGTGCTTTCTACAAAAGAGTATTTTACTGGAGTGGCAAAGACAACCTAACTGAACTTCCCAAATACAATGTTAAGAAATGAAGCCAGAGTCAGCAGTAGAGCTGAGAGTGTGTAGCTCCACAGTTCAGGTTCTAACTAACTGCTGTGTCTTCCTGTCTCTTTAGTGATGCGTTTCCCCAATGTGTTCCCCCTTTTCTGTTTAGTGTTTTTACAGTAGAGAGATGATAAAATTCAACAAAATCCTTTTTTTAAAAAAGCCAGGCACAAAAGAATATATCCTATTTGATCACATTAACATAAATTTAAAAAGATAAACAGACAAAATGAATCTTGCTGCTTAAGTGTGTATAATTCACAGAGAGAACTAGACAGAAATATGAAGTATTGAGAATGCAGTTAGAAAAAAAGACAGCTCTAGAGATGTTGGAGGGGCAATAATTAAGAAAAATAAGAAAATGAGGGACCAGAGCAAAAAGTGTTGGCATATGTACCGTTCACAACTTGAATGAAAGAGAAAAAGGGAAGGAGGGAGGAAGTGAGGACCCTTCTTACAACCCCAGTGATGTCTGGAGATCTTGGTTAGAACTGAGGATGTCCCTATAGCTCACAGATCCAGGGGCAGCTGCTGGATTTCTCACCTTCCTAACTTGCAGAGGTAGGAGTCCCTCTGGCAGTCTGGTGGGGCGATATCATTGTAGGAAGTTCACTTAGGTTACCTTTCCTGCTTCCACCTCTTCCACAGATTTTATAAGCACTTAAGTTTTCTCGAGTAGTTTCTCTTAATTGTACATGAACATGACAAATACAGCACATTCTAAAAAGCTCAAGAAAAAGCCAAAGTGAAATTTCCAAAATGAAGTATTAATAGTAACAAAGCAGAGGGGCTAGACCTGGACCTTTAAGTTAACCAGACACTTATGTGTGTGTGTGTGCGCGCACGCACGCACGCATGCCAGAGATTGAGCTAATGCTTGCCAGGCAGGCACTTGTACCACTGAGCTAAATCCCCAGCTCTACTTGTTTGTTCTTGTTTTGTATTGCTTTTTGGTACCAGGGATCGAATTCACAACTGCGCACTTGTAAGGCAGGCTCTTATGCCACTGAGCTAAATTCCCAGCCCTACTTGTCTGTTCTTAAATGATTTCGACTAGTGTAAAAACCACATCTTCACTGACCTAATTTTTAACTTTTACAGAACAAACTTTAGGAAAAAACTTTTAGGAAAATAAACTTTTTTCAAACAAAAAAGAGTAATGACGAGGGGTAAATTATGAAGCCACAGAGAGAAATAAAAAGATTAGTCTTACCTGGAGTCTCGTATTCATTTCCAGAAAATAAAAATTCTTTTTGGAGTCAACAAGAAACTCCACAGTTCCTGCAGAAGAGTAGTTTACTGCTTTTGCAAGGGCTACAGCTTGTTCTCCCATAGCTCTTCGAGTCTCAGGATCCAAAAAAATGCTACAAATACAGAAATAATTTGTCTTTTTTGTATCAGGATTCGAACTTGCAACCTTGTGACCTGGTGCTTGCCAGGTAGGCACCGTGCTGTTGAGCTATATCCCCAGTCCTTACATTTTGAACAAAAGTCAAATTATCTTTTAAGGGCATTATACAAACTTTTACTCAGTTATAGATCACCTGTATTGATTTGAGTTCATAATATTATATAGATTGCATAAATTTTATAGTATATACTTTTGCATTCTGCACAACATTCTTAACAAACTTGTCAGATTTTTATAAAATATTTGAACCTTTCACATTATATACAACTTTAATCCATTTATGAAATTTTGCTACTATTCAATTAGCAAAACTTAACATATATACTCATTACTGCAAGCTAAAATTGAGAAAATAAACTATAAGAAATTGACATGTACAGTCAAAATCTCACTGTTCATGGATTCTGTATTTGCAAATTTGCCTACTTGCTATATTTATTTGTAATCTCAAAATCAACATGTGCAGCACCCTCATGGTCATTCTTAAGCACATAGGAAGGAATACTTTGAGGCTCTCAGGATGCTAAGGATGAACAAGGCAACACTCTGCCTTCATATTTCACTGCTCATATTCTACCAGTGTCCTTTCTGTTTTTCTTTTGTTGATTCCACTGTTTAAATGGCCCCTGAGTATTACGCATATTTGCCATAAGAGCAAAAAGGCTATGAAATGCCTCATGTAGAAAACCTATGTGCAAGATAAGCTTCATTAAGCCATGTGTTATGATCTTGTTGGCCTAGATAGTGAGCGCAATATTAAAATCAATGACAGGGCTGGGAATATGGCTCAGTGGTAGAGTTCTTCCCTTGCATGCACAACGTCCTGGGTTCAATCCTCAGCACCACAAAAACAAACAAACTAACTAAAATCTATGTTAAATATTAAATAAGATGCCCTTTCAATAGAAACATGCCTATAACAAGGTTATGCACTGATCAGTTGAACAAAACATAAAATTTTACACATTACATGAAAATGTTATGACCAGAGGCTTGCAGGATCCTAACCCTGCATTTCCCCTAGAAATAAATTCAGTATTTGCTAGTGCAGTATTCATTATTCCTTGATAGAACATAACTGCTAAAAGTAAGATGAACTGATTATACATCTAATAAACCCTAACACTCTTGTTTCAAAATATCAAAATTACCTTTCAGCAAGCAAATAAACTAAAATGATTTTGACAGCTCTGAAAAAATGGTTATCAAGTAACTTGCATTTTCTGATTTGCCTCTCCAAATCTGATTGTTATTCCCACATAAGATTCACAGACTCATGTTATTCTCAAATAAGATTTAGATGATATGATTTAAATGTTTATTATACAAAATGCATGCACCTGTCTCCATATGTAGTAATTATTGACATATAAACATTCTTGTTTTATCTATGCTACATGCTCAGTAGCAGATTGTGGATATGCTCAGTACTGTTTCAAACCCATTTTAAGCAAATCTCACATAAGGTATTTTTCCATCTGTAAAAACTTCCTTTTCCATGAGATAAGAATTTTTCTGTAACAAATCACATTTTAAAAAACAACTTCCTTCACAGACAGTATTTTATCAATTCCCTTGATTACCTCATAAATATGTTTATACAGATGAGCTCTTCTTGTAGTTTAGGTTTCTTAGAATATAAGAACAAATATAAGAACTTCTCGTAATTCAAGCTTCTTTAACTTGTAATGCTCTCTCTAGTCCATTTTTGACTAAGGACCTGGTCATTTTCCTGTCTTATTCCTCCTGCTCTATGTTCAGCTACATGCTACCTGATGTTCTGAGTGTGTGTGTACACACTGGGGAATCAAACCCACGGCCCTTGCACCGGCTTAATCCCCCAGCTCATTTTATTTTTATTTTGAGGCAGGATCTCATTAAGCCACTGAGATGTCCAGCCTGGGCTTGAACTTTCAATCCTCCTGCCTCAGCCTATCCAATAGCTGGGACTGTAGATATGCACCATCATGCCTGGCTGTCCATATATCTTTTAACTTTATATTTCAATCCATATGAACAGACAGTGACTTAGATCTAAAGTCTTGAATAGATTCACTAAAGGCTTGAAGTGGGATGGGATGAGAAAAATACTTCACAAGTGGGATATATATACTGTACTTCATTCTGACCACCCTTTTGGTAATATTAGCATTAATCAATGGGCTCAGATGCCATGAATCTGATTCATAATTCATAGTTACGCAATAACTTAATCAATATAGGTTTCAATGGCATTTCAATAAGTGACTGGCAGAACTAATATAACCAAAAGAAAAAGCCTAACTAAAGATTAGTATCAATTTTTTCTTTAAATTAATAGATTAGATATTCATAAGAAAGCCTTCCATTTTTAAAGCGAGAGAAGAAACAATCAAAAATCATAAGTTAACGTTCCCAGTCTACGAAATATTCCTATCCAAGACTTGACTAAGTTTTGTTTTGGTTTGTTTTTTAAGAGAAATTTAATTGAATTGCAAGTGATAAGATACAGAAGAAAATACAAAGTTGCAAAATAATCAAATTAGGGACTTATTTCTGTTCTGTCAGTATCCTTTCTCTCACTCATCCATACTCCTAGAATTTTAGCACAGCACATAATTGTTGAGAGAAAGAAGCCATTTCCAAGCCACTCTAGCTAAAGGCCTAACACAGACTAATGCCAAAGAATCAAAGTTGCAGCTTCCAGGATCTTCCTAAAATCACAAGGGGACTGGGGCACAAGGAAAGCATCCCTTTGCCTTTTCTTTTCCCTTCCTTATGTGCCAATCCTAGGCCTATGGTGGCGGCAGTGCAGCCTGGTTTTTAAGAGTTGGTATTCCAAGCAACAAGTGGAAGCTAGGTTTTTTATGAGGTTCACATCTGAAACTGGTATAGCGCTACATCCATATGCCTTATCTGGTAAAGCAATGACAGGACACAGTATCAAGTGAAGGTAATTGAGATTCTTCCTCTCATTACTCAATGAACAATGTGCCATAGGATTAGGGGACCATGTCTTAAAACTATATACCGTACCTAATTTATTATGCTAATTAACTGAAGTAAATAAGTTTAATTATTTTGTTACCTTGTGATTAAAAAGTCACTCATATTCATATCGACTATACACACATTATATTAAAGAATGCTGGCTACTCTGACTAAAGCTATAACTTGATGTACTGTTTAGTGCCTGGTAATTCAAAGGACTGTGTAAACTCAACTGGCAATTTTTGAGAATACCTGAATATAAACAAACACCAAACCAGCATAAATTTAGAAATGAGACTCCACAAAACTGTTACACAAAATGGAAAGTGGCCTAGAAAAGAACCCAAAATGGCTGTGATAAACCAAAGAATTTTTAAGAACTATGCCCCAAAAGTCATTTCATGGTAACAAAAAAAAAAAAAAAAAAAAAAATTCAGGATCAATGTTATAAAACCTTCACCAACATAAGAACCTGAAGATGTATATTTTAAAATTCTACTAAACACCAGTAATTTTTACCACCTAAAAGGCAGCAAAAGTCAGAGTTGATTATACAACTTTCTCTTCTAATAAAAGCCCATTTCTTTTATAGGTATTCTCTCATTTTTATTCATTAGGAGGAATATTAAAATAGGTATTAATAGAGCTGACATTATTATTAAATAATTTTTGGCAAATAAAATGAAAAGTAAATGTAAACTACAGAGTAAGTTTGATGTTGTGCTTATGTCTGAGATAATGTCATCTCACTTAGTCACCAAGGTTAGACTTAAATTTGTCATCTTACTGTCTTACTTTCCCAGAATGCTGGGACTACAGACCTGGGTCACCACACCTAGCTAAAGCAAGTTATTTGATAAACATTCATCTTACCTTGGTGCTTCCTCCACCACTTTCTGATTTCTTCTCTGAATTGAGCACTCTCTTTCATTAAGCCACAAAGCATTTCCATGTTTATCACCTAAAACCTGAGAAAACAGTACTATTTGGAAAACAAAATAACAACAAAAAACCCCAGCCACCCTGAATGAGCCAGACCTAGTTGACATTTTCTCAATGCTTAAATCTCTTGGTTTTTCACATTCAAACCTCACAAAACACAGGCACTTCTCAAGACATCCTTTAGCTGATTTTTTAAAAAATTTTTTAAAGAGAAAAACAGAAAAAGGGTAGAAATAATACATAATTTCAAAAAAAAACTCAGTAAGATAGTTGATACTAGTTGATAAATTACATATTGTCCTCTTAGAAATAGTTGTTCAAGCTACAAAAGTAAAGCATACAAAGTGGACATTCAAACAGCAACACTGCAAACAGTTCTGTTCAACAATCCAACAAAAACTTAGTAATATGTTTATCAATCCTACACACTTAAACATACATTCAGTTATATCCTTTAGAGCACTTTCTTTTCCTCTCTTTTTTACAATAGCAATTACACATTTTGGGTTTTATTATTCCTACATTTCTTACTACTTTTTACACTAGAGACACAATGTGATATTTATGATTCTGAAATATTTATTTCACTAATGAGGATAGTCTCAAGTTGTCTCCATTTGCCTATGAAGACCTCAAGATCATCCTTTTTATAGCTGAGTAATATTCCATTGCATAAACATATCACACCTTTTTCATCCACTCTGTGGTTGATGGGCATCTTAGTTATTTCCAAGACTTAGCTATTACAAATTGTGCTGCTATGAACACAGGTGCACATATATCACTGTGATAATGACCTTTTCAGTTTTTCTGGGAAAATATCGAGGAGAGGAATAGCTGGATTGAATGGAACTTCCAGTCCTAGTATTCTGAGAATTCTCCATACTGATTCCCATAGTGGCTGCACCAGTCTACACTCACACCAACAGTGGAGCAGTGTTCCTTTTTCCCCGCGGCCTTGCCAACATTTGTTAGCAGTTGATTTCTTGATGGCAGCTATTCTTTTAAGGGTGAGATGAAACCTCAATGCTGTTTTAATTTTCATTTCTCCAATGACCAGTGAGGGTGAACATTTCTTCATGTTATTATTTGCCATTTGTATATCTTCATCTGAAAACTATATGTTCATCTCAGATGCCCATTTTTGGAGAAGGTCTTTGAATTTGGGGGGCGTCATGTTTTTCAGTTCTTTATATGATCTGGATGTAAGTCCTTTAGGTCTGAGGAGTTGTTGGCTAAAATTCTTTCCCATTCTGTGGACTTTCTTTTCACTCTGTTGGTGATTTCTTTTGAAGTGCGGAAACTTTTCAATAATATGAGATCCCCAGTTGTTGATTCTTTGAAGTATTTCCCGTGCAGTATGCGTTTTGTTCATGAATTATCTGCCTAAGCCTGTGTCTCCAAGATTTCTACCTACCTTGTCTTCCAGTAGATTTTAGGTTGATTTTTATAAAGAAAAACTTTATATATATAACCCAGAATTCAAAAAAAATTTTTTTTCTTAATTTTATTTAAGGAGAAAAAAAAAACAAAAAAGGGTACAAGTTATACAGAATTTCAGAAAAAATAAACAGTAGGAAATCACAAGTTAATAGATTATATGTTGTCACCTTAGAAAAAGTTGTTCAAGTAACAAAATTAAAGCATATGGACATTCAAACAGTGAGACTGCAAACAGTTCTGTTCAATAATCCAACAAAACCCAGTAATACGGTTATCTATCTTATACACTTAAATATACATACAGTTATATAATTTAGAGGAATTTCTTTTCTTCTCTTTTGTGCAATGACAATGACAAATTTTGGGTTTTATTACTCCCACAGTTCTTACTACTTTTTTTGAAGAGAATAAAACCAAATGTGATATAACAAAACAGAGTCAGTCAAATCAAAAGGATGGACATAGTACATAATGTAAAAACAAAATACAAGGTGATCAACAATGGTTACCATACTGCCTCTTGCTATCTTAAAAAGAATTGCCTATAACATCAGTTATAATAAAATTGAACAAAACAGTAAAGAAAAAAATCAATAAAACCAAAACATTGGAGACATTACAGGACTTCGAAAGAAGATAATAGTCAAACCAGGATGGGGATCATAATGAATCTTATTGTCTTCAGAGTGTTGCCTATACTCTCAAACTTGGTAGTATCAAGCAAAACAGAATAGAGGAAAATCAGTCAAAACAAGATGGTGAGAGCAATACAGGGTTTCAAATCAAGTTAATAGGAAATCAAAGTGGGTTACTATAATATATACTGCTATTTTTTATTTATCGCTTAATTAAAAAGATAAAAATAAAAAACATAAATAATTTTTAAAAAAAGGAGATTAAGATAAAAGAGCACATAACAACAAACCAGCACAGGTCAAAACATAACCATTTAAGCAAAATAGTGTTTCACCACCAGATATCCCGACATAAAAGTAGTTATCATAGTGTCTCTTTCCTTGAAATCTTTGAGTATAACTTCGTATACTGTAGCATCAAACATATCTAGACAATGTAAAGCCATTCAAGAGAATGACAGTATTACAGGATATTTAGAACCAACTAACAAAAAATGAACAATGATTTCGGTATAATCTCCTTGTCTATAAAAGTTTTTGTTTACATTATCACATTTAATAAAATCCAATAAGATACAACGTTAAGACTGATGGAGACAGAAGAGCAAAAGTTTGATGGGACTTCAAAACAAGATGATATTAAATCAGCACTAGCTATTATGATGTCTTGTTTTCTCCAAAATAGCTGTTCCTACCATCCAACCTTCTCTGCCTCATTTCTGTTGAGCTCTTAGTTGTCAGTTTGTCTTCTTCATTTTGCTTTCTGCTCCATTCATTGTGGCCTCTCTTCCACTATTTCTGGAATCTTGGTATTTTTCTTTTTTTAGAATGTCCTGCAGTATTCTCTGTAGAGTTGAATTGGTGGCTGCAAATTTCCCTAGTTCCTCTTTATCCTGGAAGCACCTTGTTTTTCCATCAATTTCTAGGGACAGTTGTGCAGGATATATCAATCTTGGCTGGAGGTTATTATCTTTCAAAGCTTGAATTATTCCCCCCGCCATGCTCTTCGTGATTTGATGGTTTGTGCCGAGAAGTCTTCTGTAATTATGATGTGTGTTCCCTTGTAAGTGATCTGTTTCTTGTCTCTGATGGCTTTTAATATTCTGTTCTTATATTGGATTTCTGGAATTTTGATTATTATATGCCTGGGTGTAGTTCTGTTTGGGTTGTAGGTGGCTGGGGTCCTGTATGCCTCATACATCTGAGTATCTTTGCCTTTTGCTAAATTAGGGAAATTCTCCTGAATTATTTCTGTGAATAGCTTTTGTAGTTCATTTGTTTGTGTCCCTACTTCTTCTTTTACGTTCTTAATTCTTAAGTTATAGATCCTATCATCTTCTAGCCTTTGTATTATTGCTGTTTGTTTCCTTGTTATTTTTAAGAAGTTTTTCATTTCATGCTCCCACCTTACAAATCTGTCCTCCAGTTCACATAATCTATCCTTAGTTTCTTTCAAGCTGTTATGCCAGCTCTCAATAGAATTTTTAGTTTCCTGGTAATCTCTTTGAACCTGCTTTACGTATTCTATGTTTTCTCTATTTTCTCCATCAAACAATTCTCCCCTTTTTTTCTGTTCTTCCCTTCCACCATCTTTTTTTTCTTGGGTGGTGCTTAGCATTTCTCTAACTATTCTACATATATCTTGCTTTAGGTAATTAAATATTTCACTTTTGAACTCATCTATGAGGCTCCAGAGATATCGCTTTACGTCTTTTGGTGCCATGTCTGATATTGCATGTTTTCTGTCTTCATTCTCCTTTGCATTTATCTTTCCTGGATCAGTGTTCTCAGGATTGGGGGCCAAGGACCCTTTCTTGTTGCTCCCTCTTCCCATACTTTTTGTTCCTTCCATACAAGTGTATATAGTAGGCCCAGTTTCTTTCTTTGTGGGTTACAGTTTGTTTGAATTGCACCGGCTAGGTGTTCCCGCCCACTGCAGTGTACTAGGGAGACACAGACCTGGCAGCCTCTGCTGGACCTGCCCCTCCAGGTCAACCTACTGAAGGCTTCACTGCTAGGATGCGCACCAGGTGTTGGGACCTGATTTGGGCTACCCTCTGGGTCTAACCTGTGGCATCACCCAGGCCAAGAACTCCCCACCAATCTGCTTGAGAGGGAAGTATGCGACTAAAGTCACTGCAGCGTCCCATTCCGGCTACTCTGCCCGGTCCCAGAATGTCCTCCTAGTCTATGGAAGGGTCCCCGTTCCTCTCACTCACCGCAGGTCAATGCCGGGCTCCCTGCCAGTCCCACTCTCAACTCTGTTCGCCAATTCCTGCTCTCAGAGCTTTTGCATGTCTGTCCCTGCTGTGTCGAGCAGACGCAGCAGCGGTGGCAGGAAATTCAAATCGTGGTTTCCAGAGGTGCGAGTTCCAGCTTCGGCGCTGAGATTTTATCTGTTCCGGTTATAGCACTGGGATTGCATTTCCAGTTGGTTTCTCTCAGCTTAGTTCGTTCCTGGGTCGGCAAGGTATATCTCCCCTTGCTTAGGAGTCCTCACACCGCATCATTCCTAGATTCTAAGCTGGCTATCTCAGAGAGCCTCCATAGCTGCTGTTATCTATCCGCCATGTTCTCAAAAAAATTTTATCAAAAATATTTGAGGAAAAAACTTTCAAGTTACATTGTAAATATCATGGGTAAAACATCAGAATTCATTGTACATTTTTTGTGAAGGATATGAGTGTCAACAGAGAGGTGGAATTTAGTTTCCAAGGATGCTTAGGAGAGCCACTGTTGTATTATAAACATCTCTGCAGTCAATCTTGTTTAATGTTCATTGATCAAAAATCTGTGTTTTATATACATTTCTTCAGTGGTCTATTATTTATATTGAATATCTTTTCTGCAATTGTTGTTATAGGAAATGGTCAAAAGAGTAGTGATTAATATATAACACTTTTTAACATTTGTAATAATAAAAAATAAACTGAAATTACCAGATAAAT